TTAACCAAAACAGTTGCTAATTGGGCGATAGTTGGCAACATCGCCGGGGTCGCCGCAATACAAGATAAAACCCAGAAAAACCCCCACGAAGAGAAACAAAGTTCACTCCGAAGCTGATCCTTAGATCCTTTTTAAAATTGTTTGGAAGTCAATCACAACAGCCTTGACACTATCGCCTCTCCCGTCTCAGGTGGAACCAGACGCCTTTGTGTACCTCGACGACGTCATCATTGTCATCGAGCCCCTCTACGCATTTTGAGGGAGGTATTACGACGTCAAAAAGCAGGAGTTACTTTCTGCGAAGAGGTTTTTATGTGTCACATTCCTCGAAGTTCACCAGTCTCATCAATTAATTCGTACGTAACGAGGGATAGCTTCTTATGGACAATAAGTGGACCAACATACTTGGGTGCTAATTTCGCGGTGAAATATGCAGTGTATCCGAAAGTACAACATTTCGCTGATAAATCTGGATCCTACAGGCAGATATGATTTCTTTATTTTTTGGTGGTGCAGGGGCTCCACTATTAAATTCGGCCCTTAACTGGCGCCATTTGTTTCTTAATTCTGCCCCTAAAAAAATTATCAATTGCATTTGCAATTCTTACATTAAATGAAGTTTAAATTGTCAGGGTAAGAGGTTTTAATTTTCAGGAATTCGGCAACTATGTTATGCGCACCAAATTCAGCTGGTTGTAATCAATATTATTTATGACGAAATAAATGTGCAATGAAGTAAGGGCCGAGGAAGATGCTAATGGGGAACATAATAATTATACGAGAAAGCTTAATAAGAAAGGTAAGAAATGTAGTCAAACTTTTTCAAAAAATTGCCAACAAAAAACGATGTACTGCAAACATATGATAAAAAATTTTTGAAAAAAACATTGCTTTGTTGCATTGTAAAACGAGACGGTCTAGTCTTTCACAAAATGATATATGAATTTAATAAAGTGAGTTGAGTGCATCTAAAACTTTGATTAACTTAGAGTCTTGGAGCAAATCCAAATGACTTATTCAGTCAAGGAGAACATGACACCTTGATAGATTTACAAAGAGTGTTCGAGCCCATGAAACTGGCTTTATGTGGGCGAGACTTAATTTAATTACATCGGAAACTACTTCCCGATTCTTGGTTCGCGAAACCGAAGATCTGAAGAAACCGTTACCTCAAAAACAGACTGTAGCATTGAGGAAACGGATTGCGCCGAACGACTGCAACTTTATTATATGAATACGATGCAATTCACTACGAAGAAGACAGAATGAAATTTATGATTGACAAAACTTTTAAGAGGCCTTCCCAGTAAACACACTTATGTCACATAGATGTACCAGCGATATCTTTCAAGTGACGTTGCAGGGACATCATAACTTCACAACGAAACTTGTACCAATGCGCGCAACATGTGGGCCTACATGTAACAGGGTACAAGCCTGTGATGTAACTTAAAACAGACAGAAGACATCAACCAATGACGTTTCGAGAAACACTCTACCCCTAGAGAATTCTACAACTACAGCAGGTATAATAATGTAAACATTCCTTTTGCTTCGTGCTGGAAAAGTAAAAATTGCATAATAGAGAAAAGAGAGTTCAAAGTGAACGCCCTTATAGAAAAAAAACACTGCTTGCCCGTTAATACTGTAGCGAGAACTTTCACTTTCGCTTTCTAAAAAGTGAAACTGAGTTCCGCTTAAAATTATCCCTTTTGTACAGCACTGAAAGTGGGCGGTCCTTTTTACACCAATTATCCGACACGCACATGTGCTACCCATTATAAGTATGGGGTGCGCTGTGGGGTATCACGAACGTAACCCTTCACGGCGACACGGATGTTTAAAAGGGCGGTTCCTATTAGATGTAAGTTAGTTAGTTTTGTTCCTCGTTAGACGCTTGTAAAATCATTTTTGTTGTAAATCAATTGCTATAAGAAAGGTTATTAATTGAATCCGCAATACAAACTATATATATATATATATATACTAGATATAAGCGACTTAGCGTTAAATTTATGTATAATCTGTTACATAATAATATTGATTGTACTTCATTAACTGAAAAGTTTAGATTTAATGTTCCTCGTTTATCCGCAAAGATATGCATCAACGTTTTATCTGCCTATGTGTCGTGCCAACATACTGCGCAGGTCCCCTGTATATCCATTATGTCCTATTTTTGAATTTTTTTTGTTGGGGCAATAAATGTATTATTATTATTAATTATACATTATTAATTTACAGTGTAGATGTTTAGAGATCAAACATTCATTTCTCCAATTCCAGGGTTTACTTCTCCGAAATCCGCCTACAAGAAAAAACAAGTAAAAAGGTTTTCGCCCTAAGGGTAGGAACACGTAGAACGGCGGCGAACCGGCACGCTTATTGCTGGTGCTGACCAGCGCTTATTTTCAGGCGAAGGTCTGTTTTTACGTGGACAAGTAAAAAGCTGGATATAAGCATCAGTTTGTTCAAAACTTTTCGTGGTGAAAGATGTCGTTGGATTCAACTGAAGATGAAATGTTTTTATTAGAAAATGTCCATTTAAAAATTTTACATAGAAGGAAGGTTGGCGTGCATGAAATTAATCGTGCACGGCGAGAATTCGGGGAGTACCACCATCTCTTTCCGCAGCTAAAAATGGACAGTCAGAGATTCTTTAGATACATGAGGATGAAGTTGGACACATTTAATTACATCCTGAGTAAAATAGAAGAAAGTTTATCAAAAAAGTGGTGTAACTGGCCAAACCAACACTCCCAAATACGACTACCAGCGTATTGAAAGCTGGAAAATAATGTATTGAACATTCTTGTTTGCTGGTCAGCGCCGATTGCAAACGCCGACAAGTTCATACAAGCGTTCTTTGTGTACCGTTCCATATCTAAGTATGCTAATATTCACACGCGCTTGTTGGCGCTTGCTCGCCAGCGCCGGCAACACGCGTTCTACGTGTTCCTACCCTAAGGCGAGTAGTAACTTCAGCGCATTTCCATAAATTGATCAATTTCGTTGGAAATGCGCTAAAAACAATACAACTGTATGTTGTATTGGAACAAAAATCAACTCTACTTAGGGTCTAAGTCGAATCTGGGTTCTATGCTGGCAAGAAACTTTCGTGGTCTATTATAGAATTGCGCAAACACCGATGATTGTTTTGACCAACCAGCTAACGAACAGATTCGTAGCTTAGTCCCCTTCTAGCCGCTGCCGAGGTCAAGGCATGCCTAGTGGAGTGTGTCGTAAACACTTTAGTGTCTATTCCTGACGCCTTCAGCGTCTCTCTGGGGATTCCAAATTGCGTCGTATTTTGATCTATTGGGCCATTGGCAGAAGATTCCCTCGCTTTACTAGAGGATCTTTGCCGATGTCAACTGGAGAGATTAGCGAAAAACGTATAATGCCAAACATTGCTTACTATTTAAGAGCATTGAAATAAAGCCAGTAGCTCGTCATCGTATAAGAGCGGTGAGGTTTTAAAGGAACATTCTTTCACATATTCAGTAACTTTTGATAAAAATAAAATCCTTCGTGGTGGCATTTTGCTCATTGTACCAGATTGGTAGGAAAACAGTGGAAAATAGTCAAAAGCAGTTGAAGGCTGGGCAGTCCGCACCAACGCCTATTAAACAAGGTCAGCATAACTCAAGGCCACATAAAATAACTGACGATGTGATAACAAGTGTTATAGAACATATCGAAGAGTTTCCTGCAGAAAGTCCCCTTTATTCCCACCAAAATGCATGAACTATACCTCCTTAAGTGCGGTGAAAAAAAGCTTAGTAATAAATATTTGGTTAAACTTTCTATGTATCGCCAAATTTTTTTAACAAAATTTAATTTGTCATTTGGATATTCTAACAGTGACACATGTAGTGCGTGTGATTCTGGGAAAGACACTATAGAGCATAAAGAAAACTATACCATTGCCTTTAACTGCCAAAAGGCTGATAGACAAATTCCACTTTGTTTAACGATGGACCTACAACAGACCATGCCTTTGCTCAAGTTGTCCACATCAAAGGCCTTTTATTTACGTCAAATGTGGCTCTACAATTTTGGCGTACATTGTATCACTAGTTGGGGACCAAAATCTTATTTTTTTTACTTGGATCAGCCAATAGAGGAAGCAATGAAATTGCAAGTTGCCATTTTCAGTGTTGCAAACTTTTAAAGGTACCTACCTGATTATATGGTCGGATTCATGCGCAGGGCAAAACAAAAATTTTGTGATCGTTGAGCCCCATCAGTACATGATTTTAAGCAAATGTTCCAAATAGTAGATCATAAATTCCCTGAACTCGGACACAGTGATCGGTGTCGAATCAGGATCGGGTTGCTTATCGAATCACCTGTTGCATCGCTCCAGTGGGAACCGCGCCTTACAAGGATTTTACCCACCTACTCAGAGATTGGGCAGACACGCGTCGGAAGGGGGTATTCTCCACGAAATGAAAAGGAAGGCGCAGTCTGTTGGTCGAAGATCTCTAGTTCTCTGTAGGTAACAACCTAAAGTGGTTGCTGCACATAAATTTATCTTTGAAAAAGAGGAGCAATATCACCGGTTGATTCCTGTTAAAACCAGAAGTTTTAATTGTATCAGATATGAAAATGTTTTAAAACCATCCAAGTTTTTTACTATATTAATTCTGTGGCTTGGTTCTAAAACCACCAATGTCATTATTTTTATAAAACGGCTTATGTCCACTAAAGTAATTGCTGAAAGGTAATACTTTTTACACAAAAACGGCCAATGAAACTGAAAACGAAGATCCAACTCGAAATGAACCAACCAAACTCCCAACTCTACTGCACCGGAACGTTTTCATCGCGGTCCGGCAATCTGGCCTGAGCACATGGCTGGCGAGTTTCGAGACTACATTTTAGCAAACAAACCGAATCCAATTTTTGGCGATATAGAAGCCCCTCAAATAAAAGATGGACCACGGAATCGCTCTTTTAACCTTCATAATACCGAGCGGGGTACAAATGTACCCCACGCGCACCTTATGAGCTATAAGTCTGCAAATAATTTTTTCTGCTATTTCTCCGGCCTCCTATCTATTATCTATGATAATATATATGTACCTAAAAAAGTGCGCGTAGTTTCCTTCTATGAGTCCGTAATTATAATGAATTTTTGTTGCTGGGGTACAAATATACCCCGCTTGGTACTTAAAGCATGTGTTTTATTGCGCCGGCGTGAAATACCGCCCTAAGTACGTCGAATTACTGAAACGATGTGCAGTCAGTTCACTGCGTGTTTGTGCGTCTATTGTAAGAGAAATAACCGTTTTATTTTATAATAGTGTCAGATTTATAATAGTGTGAGATTTGATATTCCTGAAAATGAGTGAAAAACCTAAATTTCGTAATGAAAACAAACTTACCGATGACGAGTTGCTTCGAATATTAGAGACAGAGGAATTTGATTACTACTTTGAAAACGATTTAGCCTTGGAAGGTGCTGCAAGTGATATAGAAGAGACTGATGTTGTGGATGAAAATGATGAAGTCGATGACCTCTTGCTCATTGGTGATAATGAAGTGGATCTGGTAAGCGAATCTGTTTCTGAGGGCGGCGAGAATTTACGTTATATAGCGAAGGACGGTTCCGAATGGGCTAAAATACCGTACGTTACGAGAGTAAAAAGGGCAAAACATAACATACAAAAATTGCCATCGGGTCTAACACAATACAGTTCGAAATTTACATCTATAAAGGAGGCGTTTGATCTATTCTTCTCTGAAGATGTAATAAATATAATCTTGAGAGAAACTAACAGAAAAGCCGAATTTGTGTATTCCAAAAAAAACAAAGCGTTTGTTCCAATAGTAAAAGAAGAGATGGACGCTTTTCTTGGTCTTCTTATAAATTTTGGAGCTGTTCATGGTAACAAGGAACCAGTTTATGTTTTATGGAGTCAAGACCCAGTTTTGTGTCGTCCAATAGTATCAGCTTCGTTGTCTCGCAACAGATTTCAGCAAATAATGAGTTTTTTGAGATTTGATAATTTTGAAACTCGCGAAGAACGAAAAACTGTTGACAAATTGGCACCAATACGGGATATATTCGATATATTTGTATCGAATTGTAAAAAATCTTTCAATCCGAACGGTCATTTATGTGTTGACGAACAGCTAGTTCCATTCCGAGGAAAGGCTCCATTCAGGGTTTACATGAAGAGTAAACCCGACAAATATGGGATCAAAATTTGGGCTCTTGCGGACTGTGAAACTGCCTACACAGTAAATATGCAGGTTTACCTAGGTAACACTTTTCTTATAAAAATCTGTTGGTGTTTTTACATTTTGTTTTTTTTTAGGAAAAATTGGTAACAAACCAGAAAAGGGTCAAGGTCAGAGGGTGGTCTTGGATATGGTAAGCCATTTAGGACAGGGATATGGAATTACTACTGACAATTTCTTTACCAGTATTGAACTGGCAGATAAATTGTTACAGAGGAACCTAACACTATGTGGAACTTTACGGCGAAATAAGCCATATATACCTAGCGAGTTACTTCCCGCCAGGTACAAAAAAGATTTTTCAAGTATGTTTGCCTTCATGAAAGACAAAACACTGGTCTCGTACGTTCCAAAGAGAAACTCCGCTGTCGTTCTTTTGTCAACTGAACATCGAGACGACAAAATAAGTGGTGCTGATAATGATTATAAGCCTGATATAATACTACATTATAATAAAACCAAAGGAGCTGTAGACACGACTGACAAACTTGCTAAAGAATACGCCACCCAAAGGAAGACCAACCGGTGGCCTATGGCAATTTTCTTCCATTTGCTGGATATTGCAGCTATCAATGCTTACAAACTGTGGATTCATGCTAACCCAGAGTGGAAAAAAGGTCGTTTAGATAAAAGAAGAATGTTTTTATTGGAACTAGGTCATCAATTAGTAAGAAATAATATTATTTGCCGCTATAATAAGGATCGTTCATTGCACGAAAAAATTAAGCAAAATATGGTAACCGTTTTACCTGAACTGAAAACAGATAAGGAAAATAGAGAGCAGGTTCCAAATCAGAAAAAAAGTGGCCGATGTCACCTATGTCCGAGGAATGCTGATAAAAAGTCTAGAAAACATTGCGTCCAGTGTTCAAAATTCGTATGTGCCGAACATTCTAACATTACAACAATTTGTAATTCATGCAATAAATAAATTTATAGTTAAAAATTAATCAAACATGTACTTTTTTGTCTGCCCTTTATTTAAACAATAAATGTTTAGAGCTCCTGATACAAAAAAGGGGTGGGGTATATTTGTACCCCGCTTGGTATCTAATGAAAGTTTTTTACCATGGTATTACGAAGGTTAAAGTGAGGTTACTTTTACAGAGAGATGTCGAATGGGGAAAAAGTGAAACGCGAATGGCTGGTCTACAGTGCGACTACAGGTAGTGTGTATTGCTACGTGTGCAAACTTTTTTCAAAAACGAAAACAGCGATTTGTGACCAAGGGTTGAAGGATTGGAAAAACATAAAAGCACGGCTGTCTGACTATGAGAGTTCTTCCTCGCACAGGGATGCTATGTGCACAGCTCTAACCTGTTCAAAAGTGCAAGGCCGCATTGACTCCCAGATTGCCACTCAAATTGAAGCGGAAAGACAATACTGGAGAGATGTACTTAAACGAATTGTTGCCACAGTTAAATTCGTAGCAAGTCGTGGGTTAGCGTTTAGAGGAAACAGTGAACAGTTTCATGCTGCAAACAACGGAAATTATCTGGGATGTCTTGAGTTACTTAGCGAGTTCGACCCATTCCTGGCGAACCACTTGGAAAAATACGGAAACGCAGGAAAAGGTGTTGCGAGTTACTTATGAAGAACAAAATGCGAAGAATTCATTCAAGCAATGGCACAACAAGTTAAAACCCACATCAAGAAAGAAATGAAGGAGGTAAAATCTTATGCGATTATCGTTGACTTTACACCTGATATCTCTCATGTGGTTCAACTAACGCTCGTTTTTCGTTACGTCACACAGGAAGGCAATCCTGTTGAGAGATTCGTTGGGTTTAAACCGCTACGTGGCCATTTGAGTGCTGACATCGAGGAAGATGTTTTGGAAGCATTAAAAGACATGGAACTCGATATCAAAAACTGTCGCGGCCAAAGCTACGATAATGCAGCGAACATGTCAGGGCGTTACAAGGGTCTCCAGGCGAGGATTAGAGAACACACAGATGAAGAATTCTACGTTACTCCCTTAACTTGGTTCTGAATGCAGCAGCGGAGTCCTGCAGGGTTTCAACAACATTTTTTGAACTGGTGCAGAAGTTCTACACATTCTTTTCCGCGTCCACTGCAAGGTGGAACATTCTGGAACAAGCGTTTTCTGAAAAGAAGAAGTCCTTCACGCTGAAACGATTGTCAGACACACGTTGGTCTGCCAGGGCTGATGCACCTGCCACCCTGATGAGGGGATACGCAGAAATTATCACTGCTCTGAGACGTGTCGGGTCCGATAAATCTCAGAAACCGACAACAAAGATAGAAGCCAACGCAATCGCGAATAATTTGGAGAAATGGGAAACTGCGATGTTGACCGCCATGTGGAACCGTTTTTTGAATCACTCCAATCTCACCTCCAAGTCGTTGCAAAACCCATCTATAAGCCTAGGCAATTCTCTAGAACTATACCAAGGTTACCAAGAACTGAACGACCATTTTTGTCGAGATTTTTGTGTGCTCTTCGATTGCCATGGAATGAGTCTACGTGAAATTAGAAACGCTGCGACAAAACTGAGAAGTGTTAATAAGAACGATTTGGATGAAGGCTTCGAAGAGGAACTTCTGCATTACTTGCAGTTTGCTTCGGGAAAAGATATCAAGAGCCCAATCGAAATGTACAAGTACTTGAAAGAAAGCGCACCTTTCCAAATGTATGCATTTTATTGCGCGTGTACTTAACTCTGCCATCCACCAACGCTAGTGGCGAGCGTTCGTTCTCAGCGCTAAAAAGGGTGAAAAATTACCTTCGCAACACAATGGGAGAGACTCTGTTAAGTGCCCTGTCGATTTTGGCAATCGAGAGTGAACTTACCAAGAAAATTTCCTTTGAGGAGACAATCCATGACTTCTCCCTTTTAAAGTCAAGGAAACACATTATGTAAATGTTTGTAACGTTTATAAGTAAAACTTCATTTTGCTAATTCGTCGCATCGTCGCGTACGGACGTGTTTTCGAGCGCTCTTTCTGTGCTATTTGCTTTATTCTGATAATAGAAAATTGTTCTTAGAATCCGTTATTGCCGATTTGAGTATACGCATAGCCCTTTTGGGTCGCGAACCTTATCCAGTGAGCCGTATATACCGGCTCGTGATATCGTGACATTGTGTGAGCAATTGGAGTCCCTTATTTCTAATTCGCATCAGAGCAAAATTGAGCAGGAGTCTCTTATTAACGAGTCTGTCGAACGCTGTACACGCCCAACTAACGTAATTATTTATAACGTCCCAGAATCTAATAGTCAGGATGATTGTTATGCAGTCAATGACATCCTCGAAGTCATTGATGCATCATTAATAGTTTCACCCGGCAGCGTTTCTAGAGTTGGAATCTCAAAAAACGGTCTTTCTCGACTATTAAAAGTCAAATTACAAAATGTTGAAGCGGCCCGAGAATACCACTTGCGTTCCAAAAGTAGCTCAATGCTAAATTTCTTACCTTACCTTAGTTCTGTTACACAATAATACACATCAAAGGGAAATAGAAATTAAATAACAAATTTATCTTTATTAATATAAAACCAAAATAAGTACTTGAAATGTGTACTATGTATCGTACTATATATTTCTTCCCAACGTAAAAGAACCGGCTATTAATTCAATTAAATAATTCGAAAGTTCAAGATAAAATTATTGAAAGCAAACTCAAGGAGTCAGCACGCAACAAAGTTTACTGGCTAACGTGATACTTAAATGTTAGCCCAAAGTGACTTTTGACTGCAAAATAAAAATGGGACGTGCATAGGTAAAAAGGCCTTTCGTATTATGCGACGCTACCTGTAATTCAACTACTGACTATTGAACGCAACCCAAATATTTGTTGTGGACGGGACTTTACAACACTGTTACAAACTTTGACTTCGTTGTGAGTGTAAATGCAAGTCTAGCAAAGTGCAACGGTTCTAATGTGGTTGCTGGTTGTTATTCCGTACGATACAGTAAGCAATTAATATATGTAATTTAGTTGACTGCTTTTCTTCATTGGTAGATATTAAACTTGGAGAAAAACCACTAACCTTGCTGGGGTGTGGAAAATCCCCCCAAATTCCCAGATGTCGATAGAACGTCGCAAACGGTAAGAAGTTATGAAATTCGTTGTCTCCTTTTTACTTGATGACGAGCGGCTAATTAATTATCACGCAGGAATGCCGAGACAAATCTTGCAGGTCTTCGGCAAGAACGGCAAGTTCAAAGTGTTAGGTAATTACCAGAAAGTAATTATAAGAAAGTAATTACAAGGATTACTTGGAGCTAAAAAAAATAAGAAGCACTTACACTCTGGAAAAGAAGAATTAAATGGGTTTTCTTTACCTCAGATGTTCGGAGCTCTCTTAATCAAAAGATAGTCAGCATGTGGTGCTCAAAACCACCATAAAAAGGTGAAAAACTTGTAAACTTCCAAAACCAAAATCGTTTACTTATTATTTTAGTTGTCGGCTTCTGTACAAAACACCCTCCAAGGGCTAATAAAAAATAAAAATAAAAATAAAAAAATAAAATGATAGCACGTATGTAAGAATGTATGGCACAGATAAATTTTCAGGGCCGAGGTTGAAATTAGCATAAATGCGACAGTTCTTACTGTTCATTAGATGTTAACTCATTCTTGCCTAAATATGCAACACACAATACCTCAAAGTGTTAGGGGAAATTAACGAAATCTAAAAAAAATAGGCAAAAAGGAAATCTGCACGTAACAAGGTGCAATGCATATTGCAAATTTCAATTGTCGTTGATTACAATTTTACTACGTAATTCATGTGGAACATCAGTCAAGGCACTCGTCTTTAAACAAAGTGCCAACAAATTCGCGTGGCTATCAGACCGTTCTGTTACTCCGTGAACGATAATATGGTTTGCATTCAAGACTGCTTCGCCCTCAACAACGCAACGTGAATCCGCATTTGCTTCTAAGAATTTGAAAATGGTTCCCAGTGATAACATAGGTGGCAAACAATTAGTTACCTTAAAAAATAAACTAAATATACAGGGTCATTCTTGACGAGCGTCAGTTAGAAACATATGGAAAACCTTTGAAAATTAAGCTAAACTGATAAGCCCTTGGTTTTGGCACATGATGAATTGAACTAAAATATTTTCAAAATGGCGCCACTTCCGGAAATACCGGAAGTAGCCATCAACTTTGTTATTTTAAATAGGGACCCCCTATTTTTTCTACATTTTCGGATTCTACGTCGAATTTGGACTACAACGATACCCCATAGTTGACCCTTTGCTCCAAGGGCTTCGCCGATATTCAAGTTTTTGTGTCAAAAATTGAATTTGCAGGGATAACTTTAAAAATTTATTATTCGAAAACGGTGAGAGATATTGCAAAATAGTTTTCAATGCTTTATTAAGGAAAGATCGAATTTTCTTATGGTATGCGTAAGAGTCTAAAAAAGTGAGACTACGTCACTTTTTCAAAGCTCTCAACTTTTACACTTTTAAATATACATAACTCCATTTTTTCAAATGGCACCCCCCATTTTGTTCTTAAGCCTTGTTTTCCTTTTTCCCAGACCTTTAATTTGATGCAAAATGTCAAAAGCTGCTCCAGACGGTTTCCGAGATATTCCATGTTTTAGTTACTTCTTGTGGAAAGTTGATAAAAAAATTAAGTCGCTTGATGTTATTCTTTTGTTTTTATTATGATAATGTTTAAACGTCAAATTTTTGCCGCTTGAACTTATACTTCTCGTCAATAATGGCTCGTTTGGGTTACACTAATGAAGATTTTTTGAATTTAATATTAATACACGGTGAATGTAATCGAATAGCTGTCGCAAATTACTACAAAATTTCAGGAATAGCGATATCTTTCAAACAAAAATACAAAAAAGGAAGCCTGTGGTAGACTCTGAAGAACAAGAAATAACTGTACTGGCGTATTTTGCTGCAAATCCAACTGCATCGCTCAATGATATCCAACGAGAAATTGAGAAGTATAAGTTCAAGCAGCGAAAATTTGACGTTTAAACATTATCATAATAAAAACAAAAGAATAACATCAAGCGACTTAATTTTTTTATCAACTTTCCACAAGAAGTAACTAAAACATGGAATATCTCGGAAACCGTTTGGAGCAGCTTTTGACATTTTGCATCAAATTAAATGTCTGGGAAAAAGGAAAACAAGGGTGAAAAACAAAATGGGGGATGCCATTTGAAAAAATGGAGTTACGGATATTTAAAAGTTTAAAAGTTGAGAGCTTTGAAAAAGTGACGTAGTCTCACTTTTTTAGACTGTTACGCATACCATAAGAAAATTCGATCTTTCTTTAATAAATCAGTGAAAACTGTGTTGCAATATCTCTCACCGTTTTCGAATAATAAATTTTTAAAATGACCCCTGCAAATTCAATTTTTGACATAAAAACTTGAATATCGACGAAGCCCTTGGAGCAAAGGGTCAACTATGGGGTATCGTTGTACTCCAAATTCGACGTAGAATCCGAAAATGTAGAAAAAATAGGGGATCCCTATTTAAAATAACAAAGTTGATGGCTACTTCCGGTATTTCCGGAAGTGGCGCCATTTTGAAAATATTTTAGTTCAATTCATCATGTGCCAAAACCCTTAAACGGCTTATCAGTTTATTTTCATTTTCAAAGGTTTTCCATATCTTTCTAACTGACGCTCGTCAAGAATGACCCTGTATATGAAGTATGGAGATCTTCCTGATTTACCACCCTACAAGCCACCAAAGGTGTCGCCAAGACAACCTACTAAGCTATTCTACACTTAAATTCACTAAGTACCTACTAAATATCTTGTAAGCAAAATTAACGCAATTATTGTAACGTATTCACAAATCGAAACAAATCCACGCCAAGAGCTAGCACTTGTAAGCAACCGGTTGCATTCAATGAGTTCTAAAGGCCTAAAGGTATAGTTTAGACTTATAGCGGCCATTATTGTTTTGTTCGGTGGCGCCCCCATCGGTAATATTTTTCGCCTATAGCGACTGTTGTCCTGGCCAAAACAAGAACATTCTAATATCAGTAATGTTACTAACTATTGTACGAGAATTTAGCCTTGAAGGGAGAGAGGTAACCATAAATTTTTAGTGCCTGGACGTACACATATGGAATCAGATACCATTCATGCTACCATAGAAAAAACAAAAAACTACACGACTGCAAATGTCTATATACCAAGAGGTATATGTCTACTTATCACCATTACATGACCGTCACATACAACGTGTTCGTAGAAGTTTTAATGTATTTGTTATAAATTTTTAAATGCAATTTATTTACTTCATGTCTCTTTGATAATTAATAATTGTGATGACTTTTAAAGTCCCAATTGTGACTCTCTAACTCCTGACAAAGTTTTTCATCTGTAATTTCAATCAAACTTTGTGTTTTCATGTACTTGCAGGAGGCACGGATGATGGCGTAACCCGAAAGCGCCCTGCTTTGATGTCAATAAAAACTTTTGCACGTCATACAACAATTTTATCTGCTCGTATATACCAAGAGACTGGGCAAATTTGATTCGAATGGTGCCAAAGAATTCACCAATCAAGGTTGTAGAGGTTCAGCCGAGTCAGTTTCTACAGTTCAAAGATTTACTCAATGGAGTATATCGAAGAAACAGATGAATACCACCCGGACGACTACGATGAAGACGTTGCAGCGAATGTTTTGTAATCCAATTTTTATTTTAATTTTTTCTT